CTATGATATCCATTAAGACAAAAGTATACAAACCAGTTTTTAAATAATTCTGGCATTCAGTTTAGACAAAAGTTCGGTGTGAATTTCACCACGAAACTAATTTATACGACACTGTATCTGTCTGTAGTTAAGAAAGCCTATACCATCATGTTACTTTATACACTGAACTGTCTATTAGTAGCAAATAGTTTAGACCTATTGCTATCACCTCTCTTTTTCTGAAACTTATGGAAGAATTATTGTTACTAAAACTTGTTCCCTCTCTAAGCTTCTCAAATGATCCAAAACAGTTTGCCTATAAACAGGGTAGAAGTACTTTAGACGCTGCTGCTGTGTTTCATCACAACATTGTATCCTCCTTAGACAAAGGGGCCAAGTATGTCCATTTCTTGATTATACATCTGCATTCGACTCTGTACCTAGAGGCATTTTGTTAAACAAGCATAGCCTTACACAAACTGAGTCCTGGGCTATCAACTGGCTGCACTCTTACTTCTCTAATAGGATGCAGTACACAGTATATAATGGCGTATCTTCCTCTCCTTTGCTTACTGAAGCTGGAGTTCCTCAGGGTGCTGTTCTCACTCCATTTCTCTTTTCCTTCTTCTTATATGACTTACCTCTTTCAGACGAAATCAACTTCGTCAAATATGCAGGTGACGTGACTGTTTCGCTTTCCGTTAAGTCTCAGTCAGACCGTTTCAAATTAAATAGCTTCCTGTCGGACATCAGTCAGTGGTCTAAACTAAATGGCGTCGTGCTGAATCGCTCAAAATGCCAGACTATTGACTTCTCCTTTAGGCATAAACGAGATATACAAACACTTGTAAGTATTCATTAAGGGGACTAAAATTGAAACTAAGTCTAATGCAAAATACCATGGTCTAGTTTAATCTTTCGACCTTATTTGGTCATCTCATATCCAAACGATTTCTAAGAAAGTGTTCCGTCTAACCTATTACATTAAGAAGCTCAGACTAACTGGAGTCACTCAACCTCTGCTTTCACAATTTGTCAACTCTCGTATCCTACCTATTCTACTTTACTGTTCCCCATTAGTCTTTCCTGGGTTAGTGAAAAAGGACTATATCATCCTGAGAAGGATGTTGAAGGTAGTTAGTAGGACTAGTGGTGTAAAACTCAGTCAACTCGTCACTACATTATTAGAAAGACATCTGAATACATGCGAAAAATGGTCTAAAACCATACTGTCTAACCCCCAACACCCCCTCTATTCCCAACTCTCTCCTTGTTGTATCTCATCAGGTAGAACCAGAAATCAGTACAAAATAATATATGCTCGTACAACCAAGTATAGTAACTCAACGATACCATATTTGGCCCATGTTCTAAGTGATAGAGACAATGTTAAGCGCGAAACCTTTGACTTGCTTTGTTGTTGATAACATAATTTTGGCTCTTTTATTTCTCTCTTATTCGTGTTCTTTAGTGAACACCTTCTTAAACATGCCTAGCTACCTAAATTATTAACATTGGCTTACTTTTCTTGTATTTTACTCTATTCCTTCTTTTGTGTATCTACTGGTTCCGACTATATCAACACTATGAGGATTACAAAATTGTCCTGTCTTTAACCTTCATGTAATATTAGTTTTGTGGTTGTTTTTTGTCCTGCAATATTAACTGACAATCTTGTTTGTGAACGCTATTATCACCATCTTAAAAAATTTGTATTATGCAGGATTACTCACTCTACTACTACTACAAACACCGCATTAGAGCTGACAATAAAAAAACCTGAGATGTTTATTTTGATTGTTTAGTGTTGTTCAATCAAATTAACTGATCATGAGATAAACATTCTTAATATCATTTCATAACTTCTTGTATGGTATAGTTTTACTGTTCACCACGCATAAACATATAGCTTCCACCACCCAAAACTGAGATATTATTTATTATGTTGTTTATTTTCCATTCTACTTCTTGGTATTTTTTCGCATTTTTTTGCTAGTTTGTTTTTTTATGTCTTTGTTGTTGTTTTTTATATTTATTTTTTGAAATACTTTTAAATGTTTGATAAAATTAGATGCAATATTGTAGATAAGTGCTGAAAATTCCACACTACCATAAGTACTGTTTCTGGAATAAAGCAAATTATCATTATTATAAAATGGTAGTTCCATTTCAATTGTTAATTACTTAACAACACTGGGTAACACATCTCTTTGTCCTCATCTTAATGGAGATTCAACGAGACTTAATTTTTGTCATCTTATAAGAAATGCGACAATAAAATACAAAAATTGCACTAGATTAAGATGAGTATGGGACACATAGAAGTCAGGTGTAGATATAAACTACAAGAAGTAGTAGTATCACTTGAAAGCTACTACTTCCAGTAACCAAATGATTATTTGCGATGTCCATTACATCAAATCAGTTTGACAAACTAGTGATCATCTTCTCAAAGAACAATCAAAAAATTCAGTGGCTAAAATCAATCTAGAGAAAGGCAACAGTATTGAACTACATTTGTGCTGTTCCAAAATCGCAACTTCACTTATATGCTTATGTCGACAAAGATATTTGGTATTCGGTTAGTTTATCCCATGAATTCTAAATCACTCTTCTGTAGTACTAAATAATCCAGTCCACTATTCCTGGGTGTAGCGAAAGAAACTGATAAAGATGCTGAATTTAATTTCAACTTCGGACTCTGAATCATAATAAATGCATATGTACAGCACAGTCAGTTGGAAATAAAAAACAACAGAATGTGGTAATTTAAAATCGAAATAAACCTTCGTGCTTAGTGCATTACGCACCTTTAAAAACTAGATCCATGTGATTTGACATGTCAAAATTACTTGATGGATGGGTTGTCTCTCAAGCGCCCAGTAGTAGGTTGACTATATATTTATTTAAACGTGAGCACTAAGAGATGCGCCATTCAAAAACACACCACACAGAAAAATAAAAAGGGGGGATGGTATCATGAGAGGACGCGAGGGTATTTATCAGTAGCGTTTAACGAAGCATTTGTTACCCAATATTACTTTTTGGAAGGGGGGGATGCAGCATGTTCTTCACTGACTATGATTTTCATCCAATCTGATGTCTCCAACTACTGAAGATTTCTACTCGGACCCCGCCCAGACGCTAACCAAACACAACTACCCACCATCCTACAGCGCCACATCATGAGCTGGTCATACCTCTTCCACCACCCAGTACCTGGGCTAGCAAAAAGTGAACCGTACGAAGGCTGATAATCGTAGCCACTGAACCCAGCGTTTCAATCGACTACAAATAGTTAAAGACAATCTCCACTCTGTTTAAACACTCCCCCAGTCCAAGGATTATTTACGTGGAGCCACCAGATGAAGTGACGACCGACCTCACAGGGTCGCTGCACAAACACAGCTACGGAAAGTCGAATTTCATGGATATGGGGCATGACTGTGAGCGCTGAAGCATAGTGGGGTCGGTGTTTGACCTTGCAAGGTGTTCACATTGGCGTATGCTGCCTGGGTTTACGTCGGTCACACCTACAGTAGCAACTCAGCTACTTAAATACATGAACTTATCGACTTCTAACGGCTCATATGTGAGTGTGAGTACAGATACAGGTTCCTGTCAATCTAGAAACATTACTTTGGACTTAGACGAAGCGAAGCATACACCACGTTTTGACAGTGATCACCAAATGGTAAAGTGATTTGGACAGCTTTTGGCACGCGATATCGCCTGCACACAGCCAACGCGCGCATCTACAGAATCCCATCACTAACAAAGATAACGAGAATTAGGGTGATTGCACAACCTCACTGTAGGTTGAGATATGTGGCGATAGCTGGTTGTATCCTCTCACTTTACCCGATTTGTTTCTATATAAGGATCTCAGAATGTTAACAAAATTTCCAAGAATACCTGTCTTTAGCTATTCCAAAGGGTGATTTTGTTCAACACATCCAGGGCTGCCCTAATAACAAGAAAAACAACTTTTAGCTCGCATTAAATAAGTGTTCTGGATACTGAAGAAAAGTGAGTACGCGGTAAGTGCATTCACGACCTGAACAAAACCCAGCCCGTGAAGGACGATAGCAGACAATGCATGAGACGCAACAGTTAACAAACTGATATCCATATGACTGTCACGCGTATCAAGTAGACCATTTTTAAAGTTAGGTACGACGACAGCACCATTTGTGAGACATTCTTATTTCCCTAAAGAACCTCAATAACTTTTAAAAGATGTCCGGCGGTTAGTCGTGTGAAGAAAGTGCCTTAGGCTATTTTAGGTTTTGGAGTTCGCTTCAACTATTACCTTAGTTAACGTATACCGACTTAAACGGTACCAAACCAGCTATAGTTGTCAGCGTAGAACAGAACGTTTCAGTCAAGGAGACTAACATATAAAGACATCAAAAAGGAACATTTATGTTTGCCACTATATTTAAACTGCCAGTTGTTTGAATCATGAATAAGCGTAACACGACATGAAGCCACATACGCATTGATGACCAGGTGTCTCAGATGAGAAGACTTCAATTAAATGCCAGTTCTCGACGAAATTTCGGAAACCTTAGACAAACTTACATCACCTGTATTTCCGTCTTCACGAAAACGCCCCGGCAGACTAAACATAACCTGCACCGAGAAACTGAAAGCAGTTCAAATAGTTTTATTCTTTACAGAGAGTGTACAAAACTTTAAGGTAAACCTTTGGTTCTGGTTAGCAACTAAAACAGGTGGATCCATCTGAAGACACTCCTATATGTACTATGAGTGTGACTAATGGAACGTGTTTCTACTCCAACGCCAGATAGTGAATAAATGAAATAAGAAAAGAAAATGCGTGCAGCGTAATTTACAAAGTATAATACAATAGTGCATTTAGGCTTTCCAGTTGAAATGTTATAACTCACTAAAGTTAAGAATTTACTTTGATATAAGGTATACAACTCATTTTCACTGCTGTAAGCTTCTTATTTACAAACAGGAGAGCCACAATAGGTCTCATTTATTATTGTGCATCACTGACCACTCTGTCCAACCTTTGGGGTAATACTTCGCCCTGAAATTATGACATTATCCGATAGCTGACTTACTGTTTAAATCCCAGATTATGTGCGATTTCACAGGCACTAGCAGCTGTTACATCTGATAATCCATAAAACACAATATTACTATCATCCAATTTTGGTTTTGATACACCAAACCTATGGACGAACTCATCATCGCTTAGACTAAAAGCTTTTTTTAATTCCACAACTTAAAAGGAGTTAGAATGCAAAACTGACGTACGAGGTATATTGACAGAACCCGGTATACTGCCCGTGGACTCGACATCACTCAGGTTCCTTACGTCAAACAACTGCACGTTGCCTTCAACAATGCTGGAATGCAATTCGTCGTGTGCCACAGCAAATTTTGTACGGGGCTGATGATCCTGGGTATTTTCGATGCCGTTTTTATGGATCCCCTCGGTCTTAAGTGAATAGTTTCTTGATACAACTTTGTATGAACATCTGAACCGATTGAGAGTATACAAGTATGTCTGTCGATGCGCCCATAAGCTTGCAGAAGACCAACATGTAGTGAAACGGCGTATAGACATGACAGTTGAGCGAAAATGCGGGACCAACGTGTCTTCGAGTTTTGGAATTGCGTCTCGTAACGAGCACTTATTTAAACAAGATTCGGATTTTTAGTAGACACATGATGCCATATAACATATATGATTTTTCATTAAGTATATTCGCTTGCCTCCGCCTCTTCAGCGAGTCTGTAGAAGCTTCTGGTAGTCATTTCCAGGGGTATGACTCCATGCGAAAAGCAGAATGCCAGAGCACAAGACTTTTCACTGACTTCTGAACTTCTCCAAGTCGGCTTGACCTATGAAAAGATTGGAAGACAAATCAGGCTCAATTCATATCCTGAAATTCATAACTGCTGGCCACAAACTTTGGAGTGTATGAAATTGGGCTGTCACTATGCTGCAGCTAGTCAGTGTTTGTGAAAAATGACACACGAGTGTTTCATAGTTGTTTTAAATATGTAATTTGGGCGAAAATAACATGAATAAGGTTACAGATGCTACTGTGGATGAGACTTCACACATGCGGTAGTGGACTATCGCAAATAGCATGCAATGATTTCAAGTGCTGCGAGTGCTGACAATGACCGCTTCTCTGCTTTTATTTATTTTTTATTTTGATTACAGCTCGATGCCACACCTTTTTTCAGTACAATATGGAATTGTCAGCACGTGATATTGGTAGCCGAAATTTTGCAGGTCGACCACAGATACCGGATGGTCGTCGGCAGGGAATCGAACCTCGAACAATGTGCATGGTTGGCGAGAGTCCTAACCACTGTACCACCGAAGCACTCAAACGACGCCTTCATGTGTCTCAAATCCTTGTTCCAAATGGTGTACAAGCTTTTATCATTAATGAATGTGCCAACACATTATATCACCCCCTCACTAGTATTTTCAATGAATTATTTTCCAGTAACACTACTTGTTTCTTGGAATGACATTCAAAATATTCCTATGCCTAAATCATCAAGTGGCCCAACTACTAAGTTCAGACATATCACTATTACTTTATCTTGTTTGGAATAATGGAAAGACTGCCCTTTCTTAGCCATGAAGGCGAAGTTAAACTTCCGACACCACTAACTACCAATCAGAGAATTATCCAATGCGATTCACGAACGATGTCGAATTATCCAATGAGGTTCACGAACGCAGTTCAATGTTGTATGGCGCTTGACTCATTTATAATGCGTGACCTTACAAGGCTACTGTTGCAATTCGAGGAGGGTAGTGTATTCCAGTATTGTCTGGATTTAGTGTTGCTCCGGAAGGAGCAAACTTGTTCGTGTGGTGGTATCATTAATTTAAAAAGCTATAGCTGATCGATTGATGGATTTCTTCATCGTTGTGGTATATGTTTGAAGCGTTCTTGTATTAGAGATGGTAAGGTGATTATTTTAATATTTCTTAGGAACTTTTTTCGCCAGGTCGCATCTGTCCCTAACGCAGATTTATATATCTGCAACTACTGGGCGCTAAAACAGCCAGTGAGAGCAGCAGCCGAGACGGAGAATAGTCTGGTGTCAACAGTCCAGTGGCACCAGCATTGTAGAGATAAATACAATCGCGGTCGCCAGCGAGCGAACAATATTTGGGTAGTAGGTTTGTATGACACCTCGCTTCGAAAGAGATCCGTGGAAAGGATAGCGGATAGAAAAGCAACCACTCTTATACCTATTATCACCAGACTTGTAAAAAGAGGGTCTATAATACACACGGATGAATGGAAGGGTTGCAATTCGCTGTAATCTTTGGGATATATTCATCATACAGTCAACCATTCAAGTGATTTTGTGGATCCCGTTACGAGAACACATACAAATTCTATTAAAGAATTTTGGGGCAGGTTGAAAAATAGGATAAGGGCTATAAACGGATCTCAAAAGGATCTCATTTATAGTCATTTGGATGAATATATGTACAGAATATGGTGTAACTTTTCCATTGACATTCCCGCGCTAAACTGGGAGATGTTTCTCCGACATGTTCGAGAAAGATATCCCATGTAACTTTTTTATTATCTATTTTATGCTATTTTTGTATAAATATACATTTCTATTTGTCATATATGCCTCTTTAATGTGATTGGTTTGTTCAAGGTCGTTTGCTGATTGGTTGCTAATTTTTTTTTGATTTACAGCTTGATTCCACACTGTAATTTTGGTACAAGTATGGAATTTTCAGCATGGATATCGGTAGCCCAAATTTCGCAGGCCGACCATAAATATCAGGTGTGCGCCGGCGTGGGCTCGAACCCCGGACCATGTGCATGGTCGGCGAGAGTCCTAACCACTGTGCCACTGTGTCTAAAGTTTAGCTTTGCCGCCATGAAACTTCATTATCTGCTCTTAAAGACGCTAATCAATTTGTCCATAAACATAACATGCTGATGTCGTCCTTTATCACAACATTGTCTCTTGTTTTAATAGAGGTGTCAAATATGTTCTGTCTTGAACCCTATACCTAGCTCTCTTTTGTTAAACAAGCTCGCTACGTCACAAGTACATTATTGGATTTTGGTTGCATTCCTATATTTCTGACAGGAGGTAGTACACTCTCTACAATGGGGAATCGCTCCACTGCTTCAGTTACTCTAGCTGGTGTTCCTCAAGGAGCTGTTCTTTCTCCTCTGTTTTCCCTCTTCTTACATGACTTGTCCCATTCTGACGGAGCTTATCTTATTAAGTAAGCTAATGATCTGACTGTTTCTAAGCCTGTTACTTCTAAGTCAAACCGTTTTAGAATGTCTTTTCCGCTCCCCCTTAATCTTTCCTGGGCTAATGAAGGTATAGACTTCGTCATACTGCGTAGGTCATTCGTAGCCGTCAGTGGGGAGAGTAACGTGTTGTTGAATCAACTCGTCAATACTATTGTAGATCGATACTCGGATTCCCTCAAGAAACCATCAAATATCATCTTATCGGGTGGTGAACATCGTTGCCATACACAACTCTCTCCTGACATCTCATCAGGTAGGGGAACTAGAAGCAAATATAGAAAACTGCATGCTCGAACGACTAAGTGCAAAACTCTACTATACCTTGTTTTGCACCCATTTTATGTGATGAGAATAGTGTAAAACAGGAAGTTATCAACTTAATGAGCATCTCCAAGTAAACGGCATTTTCTTTGTCCTCATTATCACATTGTCGCTAATATTTTCACTTGATTTAATTTCGTGTCTACTTATTATTGAACAACATTAGTAATGTAAATGCTCTATTTTAAGTACCGCCCCTGTAATGAGAAAATCAGATACAATATTGTGTTGTATGCTGAAAGTTCTATATTTGTAGCAAAAGCATTATTGGTAGTAAATTTATTTTTATTAATCCGTGAGACAACGATGATTTTCGCTTTTTGAATGTTTCGAAAAGTCAGTGGGTGAGGACACACTTTCGTGAGCTTTGTGTGTGACTTAGTTTTTATTTCAGTCTTTTAAAGTATAGCATATGTCTCCGTATTATATTGGTTGAAAGTGCCAATTACTAGAAAGTGATACCTGTCCACCCCTACAGAAGTCTGTCGGCCTACTTAAACCACCAGAATGCCACAATTTCCTTCCATCGAAATGATTAAACTCTTCTGCAGTTATTGCTATAATCGTGGGGTTATATCAGGTATCTCTTACATGAACTCGAGCGCATATATAATCCGTTTCCCAACATACGCTATGCGATCTTAGAAAGAGTTGAGAAACTGTACGAAATTGGTTCTCTGTTCACATGCAGCGGTTTACGACAAATGATGTGCTTCAGAGCATAGCTGAAAATGTCAATTCTCTATGGAGAGGAAATATTTTGAAACTAAATACGCTGAAAATTTCTGGAAAATATGTTCAGGTATTGCCTGAGACAGAGCTTAACTATTATTATTGGTCGGTCCGCCTGGGCTATTCATTCGGATGTCAGGAAGGTTGTCTACATCATGTGTCAATAGTAAATGTATGGTTTAGATGTCAAAAGTGCCGTAAACTTCCGATAATTAATATAACTAAAGGCCTTTCTGCGGCTGATGCAAGGCTAATTGACTTCTTTGAGATAGCTTCCTGGTTGTAAGATAGAGGGTCCCTTATTTCTGCGACCACTTACCTGCCATAGACTTGGTTTACCCCCGCGGAAGTGGTGCAGAGATTGGTTATATGTGGTCTACAGCATGTGATGTGTTAAGCCCTTACTGCCATTGTAAATGGAGTTGGTCCTTTTCCCCTTTAGTCATCCTGTGCCTGAAAACAACGATGATAAAAACATATTTAGGGAAAACTATGTATGTTATGAGGAAAAACAAACAGACAAATAGACACGATGAAACTTTATAACCAATGGGTAATTACGTAGGTAGTGTTAATAAAAATACTGTTTGAGGTTATGCTATGATATATAAGAACAAAAAACACGACAAATTAGGTATAATCAGAAAAATACGACCAAGGAAACAGGGCAGGGAAAAAGACGAGTTCAGATGGTAATCATTATTAGAGTGGGTCCCAGAAGGATAGTCCTTTGGAACTCCACTTGAATCGCTTCACTGAGGGCGCGGTAACCACAGCTACTGTTAAAGAATTATAGATGCGGCAGACTCAAAGCTAAGTAAGTTAAGATTGTTCTGTCATGTGAAGTACTTCGATGGTCTTTACGGGAAAGTCACCACTGATTTATTGGTATAATACCTAGGTTTGTGTTAAAGCTAGTTGTGATCTTAAAAACAGTGATTAAAACACTCAGGCCGGCGGTAGCCAAAAGTGAAAAGAAATAATTTCCACAGCCTTTCATCTTATGGTTCATCCCTTCTGTGAAACCATTCCATAGGATTAGCCTCTGTTTTTAAGCTGTTATGGGAGCAGTGACACTATGCACTACAATAGGCGCTACATATGTTTCATATTGCCTTAGAAAAGGCTCGAAAGTGAGCGCACCTATCCATGCGTAAAGTGTATAATAATAATAGTATATTCTCATTTTGTACATGAGAGACGCCAGTTTACAGGCATCATCAATATGATAAATTACATATAC